TGAGAAAGCAGGAATCGCCCATGAGTGACCCACAGGGAACCAAGGTGTTGAGTTGAAGAAAACCCAAACATTCCCATGGAAAAGGAAATCAGCTGCTATAATAGCGTAGGTGGAACCATCTAAAATCGTGTATGAGGGTGCAACACACCCCACAAAGCCATCTGGGTGCTCCCCCAGAACTGCTCACCACCTATGTGCCTGTGCCCTTGGCACTAGCAGGTAGGGCCTGCGGTGCTGATGGTTGTTTTGGCTGCCCTGGTAGCTCGCCCTGAGGACCAGCTCTAAAACCTGGCTTCGACACCACACGCCCCTTCGCCCACTTCATTCTCTTCCCCTTCGGAAAAGGGAAGCAGCAAAGGCCCAAGGCTTCCCTTGGCAGCTCCTCTTGCCTCTGCCCGAGGCATCACCAGCTCCGGCTCTGACACACATCAGTTGGTGCAACGGCTCATTTCATCCAGAGCTGTATTATTTTCCTTCAGCCCCTCACTAACAACCTCCAAGATCCTGTTTACCTTTCTGAGTGCTGCTGCAAACTGAGTGGGAATTTGGAGAGGACCAGTCACGGCGATTCCAGGACACTCACCATCAGGACTGGTTTTCCTATTTATGCTACTTTGCTTATATTAACAGTGGGTCTCAGTTACTATTTAAAATACCCTGTCAGCTTCTATTTTCAGTACCTCAAATAACTTTATCTCAGCAAACTCTGAGTCACGCTGCTGTTCGCTGTGCACAGCGCAGGAGCTTGCGCAGCTCTGCGGAGCTCCGCAGGGAACAATTTAGGAACTGCTGACACTGTTTTCCCTGTAGCAATGTCACGCTGAGCAAGCCAGAATTTCAGGATGCATAATTTATCAACTGCCTGTATTTATTCTGGATGGAATGGATTTTGCTTTTGTTTAGAACACACAAGCTGGTTCCAGAGAGCAGTATGTGCGAGCCAACGTGCCCTCCCAGCACAACCAGCGTGCATCAACAGTGTTACAGTAGGAAACCAACGCGCAGACGCGTGCAGCCTCCGAGTAGCGCCCATCACAGCTTCCACAGGGGAAACCAGTACCAGCCACGCGCCCAGCGCACCCTTCCTACCTGACCTTCCCGCGGCGCAGCCACCAAGCCTGTATGGCAGCACGCTGCTGGCTGCGGAGGAAGGACCAGAACACTGAGCGGTAGAAGGCGGAGACCAGGCGTACGACATGGGCGCGAGGGAGGAAGACAACAGAAACTGGCATTAGCAGGGAGGAAGCAATCTGTTTTCATAATCCTTTTTTTTCAGGTTCCCACAGATGTTTGAAAACCCCGGTGACAGCACTGGTGCTGCAGAGAATTGGGAACAGCTTGATTACAACCAAACCCAAGCATGGTTCTCCAAATCATTATTCAACTGAAACAGATGGGGAGTAGCACGTGTTCCTCGTTGCTGGTTTGTCTTCCCCCAAGTGTCCTGCAGACACCAGTGTGGTAGTTTTAAGCGTAAAGCCTCTGAGTGCTACTCAGACTTTAACAACCCATTTATATCATTTTACAGAAGGTGATGAGCTCCTCTTTTCAGTTGCAGAACGGACTAGTTCAGCCTCTATTCACACCCTCCCCCAGAGAGGCACTGTAATTATGCTACAGATTTCTAACACCACATGCTACTACCTCTGTCTCAGAAGCACGATCAGGTCATAAATTACAAAACCCATCAGCCAAACCAGGACTAACCAAGTGCTTTCTCTTTGTTCCAGGTGATTAAAGCGAAGGTGGGAGGACAGCTACCACCACTGCTCTGCCTTTTACTTGCTTTCACTAGAGCTAGAGCGGCACGAGGACACACAGAGACCGAACAGGGGTCACTCCTCACACGAAATCCAGCACTGCTCACCTGCATTAGCTGGCATTTTAAAGCTGTAATGAAATAACCTCATTGCCCCATCTATTTTCCAGTAAAGAGCTTGTTCAAAACAAATAAAACGCCCAAAACCAGAAGACCGAGAACACTCAACCTACACGATACAAATTTCTCAAGCAAGCGCCAGGAAACGCGACGTTCGCATGCACGAACCAGCTCCCTGACGACAAATAAGCCACTGGACCACTTTCGAGTGGAGAAGGCAACGACAGTTCCCTCTTTCCCCACCACCACTCACAAGTTTTTGTACTCCTGCACCATGTCAGGTGCTGCAATCCCGGTGCAGTGACTGGGAGCATCTCGGGGGACGCACACTTGGAGCAGCTGCTCCTGAAGGACTGCACCCTGTGGGAGGGACCCACGCTGGAGCAGGGGAAGAGTGTGAGGAGTCTTCCCCTGAGGAAGGAGGAGCAGCAGAGACAACGTGTGATGAGCTGACCACAGTCCCCATTCCCTCCTCAGCGGGAGGAGGCAGAGCAATGGGGAAGCAAAGCTGAGCCTGGGAAGAAGGAAGGGGTGGGGCGAAGATGTTTTACGATTCGGGTTTAATTCTCCTTTTTTAACTCTAATTTTGACTGATGATGAATTTTTTCCCCAAGCTGAGCCTGTTTTGCCCATGACAGTCACTGCGGAGTGTTCCCTTCATGTTCCTTCTTGACGTACGAGCCTTTCGGCGTGTTCTCCCTCCCCAGCCCAGCCACGCAGGACAGTGACAGAGCAGCTTGGTGGGCACCTGCCCCCCAGCCAGGGCCGAACCACCACACTCATCAGCGATTTCAGTCAGACCCACATCCTGAGCTGCCCAGCATCCAAAGGATCCCTGCTCATTTCATACTTCAAAGCCAGTCCTTCATCTCGTCCCGAGGACAAGGCACACGACCATTCCGTATGTCATATTTTCAGGTTGCTCCTACTTACACAGACATGCAAGACTTTTCCCTGCCCCACAGTAATTTCCAACAAGTGACCCTTACCCCGGTCATCAAGACACTTGAACAGGCACTGAGTTCCAGAAAAGAAAATTAAAAGAGGGCTTACACATGTATGTACACATAAGCACACTGGCATTTCCTGATAAATCAGAACACAACACTCATTAACCAGAAATACACAGAAAAAAAGTAATCTACAGATATCACAACTTTTTATTTAAGTCAGCTGAGAATGCGTATTTGGCTCAGGACTGTTTACCCTTGACTTTAAAGAGACTGACTGCAAATAATATATTAAAAAAAAATAGAAAATGTAAAATTAATCAGTATTTTTAAAGTTGTCACAAAATTTGAAAACACTTGTATAAATTCTGCAAACTTTGTATACCCTTGAAGGGGCACCATTTAGTTACCGTACATAATGATATTTGAAAATACTGGTACGTTACCTAAAGCTTAACCAGACATATTCATGATCCCTGTAATTTCAAGAGGGTATCAAAAGTGACAATGGTTAGAAAAATATACATACTTCTGCTTCTGTAAAAGAACAGGTCATTTGAAATATCCGTCAAAGAAATGACTAAAAAAGCCTCTCTGCAGAATTTTCTTTTCCCCCACAGTCCAATGTAAAATGTGTGTTTATACACAGCTTATGCAACCGCTCATTTCCAAGATACAGCCAACGTTTCGCCAGCCAGAAATCCCTACCCTGCCCCTGGGCTCTGAAGGGATGATGGTGCAGGCAAACCCAACAGCGGAGCCACGCAGCGATACACAGCACGACCCTAAGGACGGTGGGGGAAACGGGAATGCAGCAGAACCAAGGAAAGCGGACCGATAAAGATAGCGTTGAGAGGAGTAGCGGGCGACAGGAAGAGCCATGAACTCTTCAGCAGCATGCAGTAATGTCCACAGGGTGAAACCTACTCCAAGTATTAAAAGGACACTTCCGTGGCACTTGCCGTGAATTTTAGGAAGCCCTGTTCAAGGTTACTGTTTACTGGCCTGGACTGAATCCGTTCCAGGGGACGGGGTCTGTTGCTGTGCTCAGTTCCTGGTGTTAAACTCCAACTGCGCACACCACGCCAACCAAACCACCCCCCTGCCTTTTTCAATTGGAGTGAGCTAGGGAGAGGGTTTCAAACCCCTGTGCTTTCAGTACCTGAGTGCAATGCAGCAGCTGACTGTGGTCTGATTCTCACTTCTTTAAATTAATTCGGGAGTAACGAATGATTTCAGCAGAGCAGCACGGCACTTGCAACAGCGACTGACATTAAAGATACAGTGACACCAAAATCTCAAATCCCCTAGTGTCCTTTTAAGTGTCAGTAGACTAATATCTTGGCTGCAACTGAAACAGAAGAGGCAAATCCTAATGAAATAACCCAAATGAAGAATGTTCTCACAGTGTTTCACAGTAATGAAGAAACAGTCTATGGAATTAGCGAACAGAAAAAAGCATGAAGGATAATAGCAGCCTATGGTTTACAGTTTTCACTTTTCAGTTTATTAATATTAGTGGTGCACTCGGCCATGGATAAAGCAAGGAATGAGATCCTGACAAAACCGGCAATTATCTACCACATGTCAACACGTAATTATGGTCCTTGTAAACAGCTAGCTCCTTTTTGAATTTTTATCGCCAAGAAAATCATATTTACATATAATATATATGTATATAACCACAAAATCAAAATCAAGTCAAATCCTTATCAGGGAAATCGCATTTTGAAGAGAAGAAAACGTATAGCACGTGTCCAAAGATTTTGAAGGCATCGTGATGTTCGTGTTTTCTTCCTCCAGTCATTTCCCCATGGATTTCAATAGACTAAATACTTCATTTCAGAGTAAATAAGTGGAAATATTATAGAGCAACTCCGGTAAAGAACAGCTCCACTACTGAAAAAGGCTCGAGGAGTGGTGATCCACGACTCTGACTTAAAGCAAAAATAAACAGCGTATAATGCCACAGCAAAGAAGTGGCCAATCAGGACCATTGGTTTAGGAGATAACCTGCATTAAAAACAAACAGATAAAACATGTCAACAAGCAGACTCGGAAAGCGCCGACAAGTTCGGTTTTACAAACAGACGTCTCCACTCAAGAGTACCTACAGACAGGCTTCTGAACCAGGCAGCTCTGGTCCTGCCACCTCACCACAGAACACAGACTGACTGTCCTGGAGCCGCTGCACAGCCCGTACTCCTTCCTGCAGTGCGGCCTGACACTGCTGCTGCCTCTTCATTTCCAGTTGGCTCTGCCCACCTGTACCAACCCCCAGGGGATTATTCTCACCAGCCCTATCAGTTTTAGCTCATTCCAAAAAGGGACAAATACAAAAGAACGTGTTCTCACACATTCAAAGCAGTATGATTTATTGTGCATTCACTAGTTTCTGAGCGGTCATCAAAAACACTTTAAGAGTTACCAGCTTCCCAGTTACGCTCTTTTATGGAAGACCTCATCCTTGACTATTGTCAACTTGTCAGGCATGAAATGTCTCTACCAGCCCCTCTGCGGTCTTGACCCCTCTACTTCATTCAAACTCCCATGCCACCTACGTTAACCACCTGCCAGTTTTAGTGGCATTGTTTACAACGAAAAGAAATAGGATCAGCATTCATAGACAGCTTCTAATAAAGCCCCAACCCTAGTGTAATCCTAAAAACACAGGCACTCATGCAGACAACACCAGGTTGGGCAGGAGTGTTGGTCTGCCTGAGGGTAGGAAAACTCTACAGAGGGATCTGGTCAGGCTGGATCAATGGGCCAAGGCCAATTGTATGAGGTTCAACAAGGCCAAGGGCCGGGCCCTGCAATAAGGGGAGATCTTATTGCTCTCTACCTGAAAGGAGGTTGCAGAGAGGCGAGTGTTGGTCTCTTCTCCCAAGTGACAAATGATAGGACAAGAGGAAATGACCTCAAGTTGCACCAAGGGAGGTTTAAATTGGATATTAGGAAAACTTTCTTCCGTGAAAAGGTTGTCAGGCATTGGAACGGGCTGCCCAGGGAAGTGGTAGAGTCACCATCCATGGTGGGGTTTAAAAGACGTGTAGATGTGGTGCTCAGGGATGTGGTTTAGTGCTGGACTTGGCAGTGTTAGGTTAGCAGTTGGACTTGATGATCTTAAAGGTCCTTTCCAACCTAAACAATTCTATGATTCTCCCTTTGCAGAGCTGAGCTATTGGAAGCAACACATACCCTGACCGAGGCTCACAGTGCTCAACAAGGTTCACATCCACTATTACCAGAGCGCTGAACTTACACAGACAGCAGTCCAACAGGCCCCGAGACACATTCTCCACCAAGTCTGAAGTAATGGAAACAGGCTTTCTTTAGCTGATGCAAGGAATCTACAAAATTAATTAAAAGGACTCAGCACAAATATTCAACAGATACCGAAAACTTTTTCAGCATATGCAACAGTGGTATTCCATCCAAGCCTTTGGAACTCCAGCAGCTGTTGTTCTGTTAAATTCAGCTGGATTTTTAGTTAAGTCAAGGATAATCCCCTAGGATATCCACATATTCTTGAACATTCACTGACACAAGAACACGTTTTCTGGGGTTTTTTCATTTGTTTGTGGGGTTTTCCTTTGGTTTTGTTTTGGTTTTAATACTAACCCCAGACTTACCTCCACATTGCTAAAACTCAGCTTATGTTACACTAGAACCAAACCAGGCAGAGAACACAAGCTAACTCATTAAAATCCTTTGATTGATGTATTTTTAACATATATCGATATACTTGTATACATACACACATATATAAATATATATACACAAACACATGGGCATGTGCACATACACATCCCCTCCCCAGGCATATTTATTTACCAAGTTGTGGTTAGTCAGAAGTTATCCTTAAAACATATTTACCATCTGTGGCAGCAAAGAGTTCATAAAGTGCCTGGGCAAGAATGTTCACTACAAAGGAATGAGATTTTTTTCTTGACCAGTAAAATGTTCTTTTTGCCTAAAAAAAAAAAAAAAAGTTAAAAAAAAAATTAAAGTATTTCTGTCAGTACATACAGAAGGGCATTCGAAGATTCCCAAAGAGGTGATAGGAGTCACACTCATGATCATGTAGAGTGGACTTAGTGATACACTAGATCAGTTCCATGCTAGGTCATTAAGGAACTTTGGGAACATGTTGAACCAGTTACCTAGTCTCCTCTTACACTAACTGTAGGGGAAAAAAAAAAAAAAAAAAAAAAGGTATTTCCAGGATGTACTTCATCTCATCCTACAGCAGGTGGCTGGGGTAGGTCAGAAATTTGAAGGCTAACACTCACCTCAGTCAACATTCTGTTGAATGAGAATAAACAGGAAATAACTGGAAGTCTGAGGCAACAAGCAGAGATGTATCTGCATTTGGTTGGGTAAGTCCTGTATTGTCCTGACATTCAGGGTTTCTCTAAGTGCCTCTCAATTTTAAAATACACTTTTTGAATCATTTAATTGTAGTCTGTAATTACTCTAGCTGTAATTTAGCCAAAACAACACGCCTAATTGGATTAAATCTTATTTTCTACTCATCTGAATTTTGGGTATTCATTTTGGGTATTCTCACTGAAAAAGTAGACCCAGAATCACCACTGGTGGTGCTGATTCCCAGGAAAGAAGGATGTCTTCTAATGAACTACTGTGAGATTAATGCAGCAGTCAAGAGGCTAGTGGAACGCTGAGCTGCATCTTGAAAACCTCAGTACACACAGTTGTTACTCTCCGAGTACCACTCACAAGTGTAGTGGTCCAAACCCACCCCATTTAAGACCAATCTACGTTACAAATACACTCCTAATAAGGGAATTTCAGGTCATAGTAGCAAAGCATGCTGACTAGACACAGCACACAAGTCTCCTGGAGCAAAAGACACAGGCCAGTAAGTGCAGTTTTGGATCTGCCGTTTGCCACACAGCCAGAGCACTCACAAATCACAGCTCCGTGTCCTGGTGAATGCCTGATGTACAATTTATCTATCCAAAGCTCTGAAAACAGCTGTGCTTCACTAATAACGTACATGTCCCCAGGCTGCATAAAACTTGTGTCTCATTAAATTGCAGCAAAAGCTGCCTAAAATAAAAGTAAAGCTTCACCTTAAGAACATCAGAATCTTCATAAAGATCCGGAATATCCTGAAGCAAACTTCTCCATATTTTAACATCGTTTAAAACAACACTCATTCCTCCACCAGTTAGGGGGTGTCTTATATTATATGCATCTCCTAGAAGGAGAACACCTAGGTGAAAGAGAAAAATTAATGGGATACTGCATGACAATTAGAACTCAAACCCTCTTTTTTTTTTTAAATGAAATGTACTAAGAATTCATTCCCACCAGAAAAGAAGAATAACAACTAGAAATTAAAAAAGAAAAGAAGAAAGGGAAAACCAAAAAGGATGTCTTTAAATTAACAGGCTTAAAAAGGGTTTAAGATGATCAAGGTCAAAATATTTTTTTTCCCTATAGGCATGCATGTGTGTGTGCCAAAGAACACAAAAACACACACACTTTTCAAGGCGATTTCTTTCCTTTTTTAATCACGTTTTCCTTAAGAAGCCCACATTTGTACGAGCTTGAGCCACTGAGTGTTTTAAACTTAAAAATACAGCAGGCACTGATTTGAAGTCTGGTGCCAATATAAACTTTTGAGTTAACTATGCCCAAGGTACACATCTGCAAAACATCCTTTTTCACAGAAGAACTAGGAGACAGTCATATTGAACAAACATTAAGTCTATGACAACAAAGCCTGGAGTCCCAGAAATTGTTTATAATTCCTTTTTCCCCTCCTTTTATTCCATAACACACACCTTTTTTATTAACAGCTGAAGGAGGCAAGAAGCTGGCTGGCATAGTCCTCAAACGGTCGTTCTGAACTGCTATTAAGAATGGCTCCTTTAAGTGATCTGCAACAACCAAACATTTTAGTTGCACTACTTCGAGTCTAAAAACATGTGCACAAAACCATTCTAACCTTTTCTTAGAAGTATAATCCTTCTGAAGAGCTAACCCCACAGAAGTGAGCTGAACAAACTGCTCTTTGCTGTGGAAGCGAAGAAGGGCAAATGGTTACTGAAACAGTAACCGTGCACGTGGAAAAATCTCACACAGTTCAACGGATTCAAGGAAACATGCCCCAAAAGGCACATTTATGGATGGAAATCTTTCTAGACTTACCAGGTAGCTGTGGTTGAATGTTCTCGATCATGTATTCTTTTAAATTTTTTGGCATTTCCCCTCGAATATCAACAAGGACCCGAGTCTCAGTCGAAGAAATCTGATAGATGAGCACTGGACTAGTTCTAGCTAAAACAAGTTCAGCGTAATTAGCTTTAAACTGTGGTGCATTCTTAAAAAGAGAAGAAGGGGGAGAAAGATGGAGGCTGATTAATGAAAGGGCAATTAAACTTCAGAGATACAAAATCATTTTCTGAAACACTCCAAAATAAAATCCTGTATCATATTAAGTTTGTGTTATTCTTATCTTCAAATGAACAACAGCAATGTTTTCAAAAAGTTCTTGACTTCAGTGTAGTTACAATTCTTTTGGCAATACATTTTAGTGTTTACTGGAATGTACGTTAATGCTACATATTTAATTTGAAACATTTCATTTGAACACCTCACTAATATTTAACATGTGCCACTGACAACCTGTAACATAATCAACAGGATGCAATCTTTCTGTAAGATCATTCTGGTTTCTTTCCATAAAGAAGGTGGTGGGAGGCAAAGAAATAAATTAGTCTGTATACGACTACAGGGAGATACCAACTGAGGTCCTATCTAACCAGGCCTTAAGTTTCCAAAAGTAGAGAAACAGGAGGCACTTGGGCAGTGGGAACTGGGTTGGGGACCCAAAAAGTGCTGAAGTTTCTCCAAGTCAGTGTTCCCAGTCTAGTGAAAGTCCTGTAGTTTTGGTTCATTCTCCTGTAATTATTTTTGCTGTTGATGCAATGCTTAATGCAGCAGCCATGGAGGGCCAGACCCAGCCAGGATTTCTGGATCTCCAACCACACAGCTACCAACCTCAATTCCCACTTTCTCTCTTAGAAGTTACAGGTCCTGAAGGTATATATGTACCTGGATTCAAAGTACCCCACCTGCAGGCAGGAGCACAGATTGGGTATTCTTCTGGAGTATAAAGCCTAGGTGGTTTGTCCCACAGCTGTTTGGGTCATCTAGAACTCAAGATTTCTGCTCTCTGAAAAAGTCGCGCAAGTATTGTGACAAACTGTCACCATCTAAGCTATCAATATCTTAACACAAACCAGTCACAGAACCATAGAATGGTTT